CTTCTTTTTGGGTCCACCAATAAGTGTCATGCAGCTAAGACTTGCCTTATTTAAAGGCGTTAGAATTTTATGAAAATCCATTCAAAACTTATCTTCAAACTTCCGTTCAAACTTTTCTTCTTGTTATCAAGCATTTTTTATAATGTCTGAAGAGCCAAAAATAAGGGTTTCATTATATTGGGGGTGGTGGTGGTGGTGGTGGTGAGGTTGTANTCTTCTTGTTATCAAGCATTTTTTATAATGTCTGAAGAGCCAAAAATAAGGGTTTCATTATATTTGGTGGTGAGGTTGTAATGGAGAATAACTTTGTGAGGTATAGTTCATCTCCACAGTGTCATGTTAAATTGCCGCTTACAATGGAGTACGATAAATTGGTATCATTGTTACATAAAAAATGAGTGTGAGGAAACGTTCGGTGAACGTTAAAGTAACCGGTAGATTTCTGTATTCTGTGACTCCGCAGGGGTTTGCTTATTATTATGAGTTTAACATTGAAGATGATGAAACTCTTAGAGATTTTTTGCGGATTCCGGATGAATACATGGAAGTTATTGTAATAAAATTATTGGAAATGTACGCCAAGGCTGAAGACGTTAGCAATAATGAGATTGCGCAAAGCAGGGATAACCCCCAGCCATCGGGTAGTTATTCTGGAGTAATTTTTGCCGGACAAATTCCTGATGAAAGAGTTTGCCTTGATTTAAACTTATCACCACCGGCGAATGAGCAGCGAGGAAATTTCCTACCTTGATAATTTTCCAAGTATGCCGAATGTGGATGCCCTCACAAGGGATGCTGACGAATTTCGGTAAGCAATGTGGGATGAGTCTAGACCAACGGTGATGGCAAATAACATGTATTTTTTTGATAATGCTTGCCTAATCAGGGTTGTAAAAATCTACAGCATAAGAGAGTGCCGTGAGATGACGGTAAGGGAGTCAACTCCAGAAGTATACAAGGTTGTATGCCGTAGAGACTTTATGGGTTGTCACTGAATGTTGCGTACGAGCAAGAAAAAATCAGGGTTGTGAAAAGCGAGTAAATATATTAGCACCCACATATATGAAATGGACACATTCAATGAGAATCACTTCAACTTGGATGTAGACTTGATTCTCTTGTCTTGATTCCATACTTGGAAGTGTCCATTAGGTTCAACATCAAAGTGTGTATTACAACCGTCCATCAGGAATATGGGTGTACTATAACAAAAAAAAGGCATATCTCGGGCGCAAACGTACTTTTGAAATTATTTATGGTGACTGGGATAAGTCATTTTCATCTTTACCCAGCTACATGGCCGCACTGAAACAGTTTAACCTAGGGACTGTTGTTGAATGGAGGCATGAGCTGAGTCCGGGAAGACCGGAATATATTTTCAACTATGTGTTCCGGCCATTTAAACCAACAATTGATGATTTTGTGCATTGCCGTCCGTGAACCAGTTAACTGCTGCAGCAATCGTTAAATTTAACTAGAAATTAAAATTCACATCAAAATAATATGTTTCACGACAAAGAAGTTACTAATCTACCTGAAAAATAAAAAGGGAAAAGATATAGTCATTGCTATATACTATCATGAGATTAAAGATTGTAATAAAGTTAATGAGTTTAATTTGTCATTAAGCCAATAAAATCTTTTTTTCTCTAGCATCGCAAACTATCATAAGTTAAAAGTTAGCTAATTAATCAAATCGTACGTTACGGATTAATTATAATCAATATCGCCTTAATTTTGGGATTTTCAGAAGACTATGGTGTCTTATCATACTGGTCAATATTGTTGATTTATACAAGTTATTTTAATCAATACAAACACTATCAAACAAAATCACAACAAACAAGAGCGACCGCAATCTTTAAACCAGTGAACTGCTGCAGCAAGTACAAATACTGGACACTCGACATAGATCTCATATACTAAGGTAGTGCAACGGCCAGTCCATCAGCAGACATCTCATGGAAAACCTGAATATCCTGAAGCGTGATGGTGGCCTCGCCAATAGGCAGATGGAAAGTGTGCGTCTCCGGTCGCCATCGCTCTATCAAGGTCGTGATCAGAGACCAATCGAGCTGCAACCACCCAATCTGAAAAATCCTATGGAAGCCCCTATCACGCAGGAGCTGGACTACACGAGGATGGAAATCTCTGCCCCTCATAATGTCCCACACGTCGTCCACTCTTCTGGCGCGGACAGTCTGCTCCACTAGCTCTCCCTCCCTACGTAGGCGGACCTATGATCGCCCTGTAACACTAATATCTCATCCGAGAAAGGTCCAGGATGCACATACGACACGTCCTGTCGTCTACTGTAAATTAAACAATATTAATTGTGTGTTTGTGTTATAATAATTATTATTTAAATTTTTAATTGGATAAACTATATATCTATGAGCTGAGCTCGATATTTGAGTCCTAGTAACACCAAGCTATCCTAAATTCTTATGTGTGTCAATTTCAATATTTTTAGAATTTTGTTTGTTTTATAATTAAATAATTAATTTTTAATGGGACATCGTATATATCTATGGGTTTCAGGCTCGATACTTGAGGCTTTGTAGCACCAAACTATCTTGAATTCTTATGTGTGTCAATCTCAATATTTTTAGAATTTTGTTTGTTTTATAAATTAAATAATTAGTTTTTAATTGGACATCGTATATATCTATGGGTTCCAGGCTCGATATTTGAGGCTTAGTAGCACCAAGCTATCCTGAATTCTTATGTGTGTCAATTTTAATATTTTTAAAATTTTGTTTGTTTTATAAATTAAATAATTAGTTTTTAATTGGACATCGTATATATCTATGGGTTCCAGGCTCGATATTTGAGGCTTAGTAGCACCAAGCTATCCTGAATTCTTATGTGTGTCAATTTTAATATTTTTAAAATTTTGTTTGTTTTATAAATTAAATAATTAATTTTTAATTGGACATCGTATATATGTATTGGTTCCAGACTCGACATTTGAGGCCCAATAGCACCAAGCTATCCTGAATTCTTGTGTGTGTTAATTTCAATATTTTTAAAATTTTGTTTGTTTTATAAATTAAATAATTAATTTTTAATTGGACAGCGTATATATCTATGAGTTCTAGGCTCGATATTTGAGGCCCAGTAGCACTAAGTTATCCTAAATTATTATGTGTGTCAATTTCAATATTTTTAGAATTTTGTTTGTTTTATAAATTAAATAATTAATTTTTAATTGGACAGCGTATATATCTATGGGTTTCAGGCTCGATATTTGAGGCCCAGTAGCATCAAACTATCCTGAATTCTTATGTGTGTCAATTTCAATATTTTTTGAATTTTGTTTGTTTTATAAATTAAATAATTAATTTTTAATTGGACAGAGTATATACCTGAATTCTTATGTATGTCAATTTCAATATTTTTCATAATTCTTTGTGTTTGTTTAAAAAATTAACTTTTGTATAGAATTTGTAGTTAGTAGATACTTAAACTACAGAGATTCTACGCTAAAAGGCTTAACTTTATTACGCTAAAAGGCTCTATATTTTACTACGCTAAAAGGCTCTATATTTACTACGCTATAAGGCTCTATATTTTACTACGCTATAAGAGCACTAGTCTTTAAGCAAATAAATAATCTAAACTAAATAAAAATAACAAACATATTTTAATAATATAACATTCACCAAATTACATATAAAACAGTAAAAGAAATTTATGAACATTTTTATTAACATGAAAAATTATTTCTCAACTTTTAACTATTTTTTTAAACATTAATAATTTAATCCGGATAAAAATAACATATTAATTTAATAGCAAACAAAATACAAAACAACATGGAAACACATTCAAGAAAACTAATATGCATTATTATACGAGTTTCGACATAAACTAAATCAGAATACCTCGATTTATGTTTTTAGAAAAGTCGCAAAATTGAAATTTTGATCCCGAAATGAGGAAACCACAACAATAGAAGGCTTGGGTTGTATGCGGGACCTACAATCTTAACTTTTTGTGTGACGGGTGGGGTCCGCTTGAATATTTTTTGGAGAAAAAAAGGGGGGACCGCTGTTTTTTGTTTTTAAAAATGGAGGTCTCGTTCTGTTTCTGTCGTGGGGAAGAAGGATGACCTTTTATTTTAATAGGTAAAGCACGGTATTATACCGTGCTTTTCTATATAAAATGCGGTACTATACCTGTGAGCACGAGATTTTTGTTTCCACGACAATTACTCCAAAAGAAATAGAAAAAAATAAAACAAATTGTCTTTGTGTATAATTTTGAGAATTTGCGTGACATTTTTTTATAGTTATTTGTAGTTTTTGTCTTTGATTGTTTATTTTATTAATTAAAAATACAAAAATATGTTGCGTGTAAATTTAGGATCTTATTCTACTATTAGGAATTAATTAAATTGTATTTGGTTTTTAAATGAATGAAAATCACAAAAAATATTATTATTTTTTTGGTAATTTTGTCATTTTTATCGTTTAATGGTTGATTTTGTTTAATTAATATATGATATTGTGTATTAATTATTGCTAAGAATCAATTAATGTCTGTGTGATATAATTTTAATTTTATAATTTTTTGTAAATTCGGAATTTAAACTAGGAATTAAAAAGGAAAAGAACAAAAAATAGAAAAAGGAATTTGAACTGGGCCATTCACTTTTGGGCCAAAATCAGGCCCAAACATGACCTATACCCGGTCCAAACCATCAGCTCTCAAAAGACGCCTCAGACGACGTCGTTTCGAGATCGGCGAATCTCGACCGTGCATCCATCCTCATCCAACGGTCCACGATCTCACCCTATAACCCGACTTGCTTACCCGGGTCGACCCAGCCCCTCATTAAAACCAAACGACCCCGTTTCTGCACCAAACAACCCCGTCTCGTCCTTCACCAATTAATCCGAGCCGTTAAGATCATTCGATCTGATGACTCAAATTAATTGTCGCGTTTAATATACCCAAAAATCCCCAAACCCCTTTTACCCATTTCATTCCCAAACACCCCCCCTTCGTCTCTGAAAGAGGCAAACCAAACAACCTCGGAACCCTAGCGCCGCCACCTTACTCCATCGCCTGAAACCCGGCGGCATCGACACCGCCGGTCACCAGATTAACACCCCTAAACCATCTGACCACCCCCGTTCCAAATATGTTACTCCATTGTCTCAAATCTTCCCCCATCGTCTCGAATTTTCATTTGAAGATTCGAGCCAAACCTAAACTTATACCAACCGATCCCAAATGCACACCAGTTACTCCCCTGACCTCCCTCGTGACCAAACCAAACCTTGTTTGGTTCGAATCGAACCAGAACAGCTCGAACCCCTAATCTGAGCCCCAAGAACCCTAGAAATTCAAAAACCAGGAATTTGTCCAAATTGGCAGAGGTTTGAGGTTCTAATAGACCTTAGTCGAATTGTTCTCCGTTGAGAACACTTGATTAAGGTCCATTCGACCTCAAAAAGGTCGAGTCTGAGTTCAGACCTGGGTCATCTAGATTACTCGAGGTATTCTTTTTCCCTTTTCCGTTTGATCTGTTTTTTTTTGTTTATTTTGTTGTTCATTTGTTGTTTAGAATGATTTTATTTCCAACTTCTTTTTCTTCTCCAAATCAGACCTTTTATTTGGTCGGAATTGTCGTCTGTTCATTGATAGGTGTGTGTGTTTAAACTATATAATCGATTGGAATAAGTTTGATCGATTAATTAGTTTCCAGGGTAATTCGTTATTTTGTCAGTACAACTTGAATCACCTATGTGTACTGTTCGATTCTGATTGTTAGCTGTTGACTTATATGTTGTAATTTGTATAGTCGATTGGATAAATGTCGTCAATTAGTTTTAACAGGTCGGGTTGTTAGAAACCCGCAAATTGTCCAGTTTTAATGGTCTGTCAGTTTAATACTAATATAAACTAATGAATAAAATAGGGATCAATAGTGGAATTGATGATATGATTAAGTGCCTTTAGTGGCTGAAAATCAGAAAGAGCATGGGGCTTAATTTTAAATAGAAATGACTAATTAAAGACTGACAGATTCTTTTTGAATTAACTAGTGAAAAAGGGTACTACTTGAGTTGGCTTAGTGACTTTACTGGTGGGAAATCAGGAACAACATGGGTTCAATAATAAAAAGGTAGAAATGCACATGAGGATGGAATAAAAACAGGCTGAAATGTTTGAATAAAGGAGGGCCAGCTCTAGTCTTTAAAGGGGACTGATTTCGGACAAGAGGGAGAGTTTTTTAGAACCTAAGGGAGCCTATCTTGAAACTAAAAGAGAGAGCTCATTTCTGGACTTCAATCCTAGGTAGACAATAAACAAAAAGAAAAACCTCTGTTGCTCCATTGAAGCTGAAAAATTCTACTTTTCTTCACTTTTTTTTTCTGTTTGAAATCAGCATTAACTGCTATTGTTCTATTGAAACTTAGGCTTCTTTCTTTGAGTGTCCAAAAATCAGAAACTGTTGTTTCAGATTCACCTATTTCTGCCTGTGATTAACATTGGTATTTTCGGGTCTCAACTGAGCCTCCTGAGTCTATTTTGTTTGGATATTGAGTATTGTTTCATTGAGTTATTTCTGGTTTATTCACTGGGGTGTATTCTGTTTGGTTGTTACTGCTGTTGTTGCTGATTGTTGTTTACTGCTGTTGCTGCCAGCTGATTTTCTTTTTCTTTCTTGTTCGTTGTGTTACAACATCCAGGTACACTCTTATCTCCATTTTAATGTGGCATCTTGGTTCAAGTGTATAAATGATCCAGAAAGTCAATGACAAGGAATTTTTGTTAATCTGAACCTATTAGGAATTATTGTAGTTTAATACCCCATTTAGATTACTTATGTTGTCAAGAACTATATTGAACTGCTAGACCGATTTTGTTTGTTTTGGCTAATTTTGGGTTAAGTTAACAATTAACTTGGGTTTAGTTTTCACATTGATAGTGTAATGCATGATCTTAGCAGGTTCCTGGGTGTATTCGAATGAACTGCATGAGATTGTATTTGAACTAAAAAATGGATTTCGAGTTTAGTTAGATCATGTGAATTATTGGATTGTTAAGTATTAGATCCTCTTTTGTAATTTGTCGTTAAACGATTGTATGGTTCGTAATAAATTAGCAGGCAGTCAGAACAGCGTGAAGCAATTGATTATGTTATCATACGTCAAGCCCAAGTTAAGTATTAGACTAGTAAGTTTAGTTCGAGCTAGTATCAAACTAGTTTAGCCTGTGCTGAGTAATCAATCTCCAGTAGGAATAAATAAATACACATCATTATTCCCTGCGTTCAATTATCAAGTGCATATTGAAATAACATTGAAATAACTGAGCATGTCGTCATTCCTTTTATTTTTGAAATCTATTTAGTAAGAATCAAGGATCAGTAGCTAATTAAAAGCTTTGAAGTGGGCCTATTAAATACCTTTCTCGTTTTGGGCAAATTTTAAGGCCCGCGCTCGAACGGTTTTCATTAATGGATCGTTGTTTCAATTCATATTCTTTGGGCTTACTTTTGAGCCCAATGGCACGGTTATTTCAAAACTATTGCTTGGCCCGTATTAGACCGGAAACATTTTAATTAGGATATTTTCTTTTTTTTTTCTTAGAGACAAAACACACACAAAAAAAAATCATAGCTGCTTTTAGGCTTGCCCTTTGTTTTTTTAAAATAAATGAGGCGAGCCTCGCCAAACAAAGACGCACAAACTACGGGGCCCTCAATAGATGTTAATAATTACTTAGATTTCGGGAGTGTCCATTTAGCGAACTTCACGGCTTTCCCCAAAGATAATAACGCGTTAGACTCTTTAGACGCGCTTTTAATTAAATTACATGCTTAAATTCGGGTGCGCATTTATGTGACCCAAATCCAAATCTCAACGGAGTCGGAATATATTAACAACCACGGGCGCATTGATTGCGACGCGGTTCGAAATACATTTTCACGACGTTGCAATTCCATAATAAATAAATAATAAAAGCGGTTTAAACCTAATAAAAGCACACAAGTTATAACATGTATTAAAATCAGATATTTAGCCATTATAACAATTTAAGCGACTGTGCTAGAACCACCGGATTCGGGGGTGCCTAACACCTTCCGTCGGATCAACAAAATTCCTTACTTAGAATTTCTGGTTCGCAGACTTCATTTGGAAAGTCGAATATTTTCCTCGAATTGGGATTCAAGATAAACCGGTGACTTGGGACACCAAAAGCCAAACTTTTCCCAAGTGACGACTCTGAATTAAATAAATAATCTCATTTCGAATATTGTCACTTAAAATGGAAAAAATCCCTCACGCATCCTTCGGGGTAGGCGCGCAAAAAGGAGGTGTGACAGCTCTGGCGACTCTGCTGGGGATACGAACCCAAAATCTCTGGTTCAGGGTTCAAGAATTCGAGCTTAGAATATTTGTTATATTCGGCTTTATTATCTGATCTTTATTACATGTTTGGGCATAACGTGCTAAATGTTGCCTTTTACCGCTTTGATATTAACTGAACTGTATATAAACTGTGCCGAAACTCTCTTCTTCTCATCTTCGGGGATGTGCTTGCTGGTCGAGACTCCCTATTCTGTTAGTGTCATACCTT